TGAAGGATAATTAGTAACTTCTCAGATGCTTTCTCTTCCAGTTAATTGTGGCTAAGATAATCTTCCTAACTTAAGATAAAGGTCTTGTGCACCATCTGTCCTGCTGGCATTGTCTGACCACTTGTGTTTCTTGTCATGTTGAACATGTTGGACATTCAAGGAGTTACATTGGTGGACACAGTCATGTCATAAGTGACATAAATGGTGGAAACCTAAAGATACAAAACCTAAACTGCAAAAGGCAAGAATTTCTGACGATCAAAACATCTGCTAAGAAATACATTTGTGAACAGTGCGATGCGGACACGAACTAGAGGAAAGAAATGTCACAACACATTGTCGGTTCCTGTGAAAGAAGCCGTTTCCCGTGCCACAGGAGACAGTCTATTAGGTACTGACAGACTCATCTTCTTATCACACTTACCTCATCGTAGGCAAATGAGACACAAAATCTGTTCTTACTAACCTGACAGACAGTCAAGACATAACAAAAATGAAAAAATGATAATCAGGACAAACTGAAGTAACTATAACTTGACACTGGCAGACTCCATCTAGAGTAGAGTTGGGGCCTAAATAAATGACAAATAAACCATTTTAACCATGCTGTGGCACGAATCAACCACGCTTGGGAACCACACAAAGGAAAAATTCTCAGTACATCAAATGAAACTAATTGTTCCCTTTTGACCTTCATCTCAGCTGTACAATAACACCTCTCACCAGCCCGAAGCAATGGGTGACTTACAGTTTGTGGTACTGTGCACAGCCTACTTGACTTGTACACATAAAAAGTATAAAATTATATCTATTTTTTTTTTTGTTGTTTTTTTTTCTTCCTTTTAGGCCTCAATAATAAACGTTTTTCTTATACTGGTCACATTGCATTTCGTCACAGCTTTTCAGCTGATAGGGAAAACCACTTTTTAACTGAAATGAGAAGTGCAACTGTACCACGCTGTGCTCTAAGAGTCTGCAGAGGAAGAGAGTTTGCTGACGGTGTTAGTTCCTGTCGGCTCATTCCTACGCGGGGTCTCGCATTGTGGTGTTCGCTTTTTGTGAAAAGATGTTCACCAGAAGGAAACATATCATAGATGCTTGCTTATGGTTGGTAAGTCCCTCGCATACCAAAACCCACATTCAAGCCACAACCAAAAGGGCAAATAATACTTTAAATAACGATTATTTCCACAAACAGCGGTGGTCATATATGCACTGACTTCTGCTTAAAGTTGGGATTGGGTTAGACTCTAGCTGGCCTGCAGAGACACCACAGTTTTGTTCCTGTGCCAAGTCAGAATATATGAAGGAACAAGCTGCACTTCACTGATCTGTGCTGAAGCACTCTCCAGCCCTCAAAAAGCAATAAGCCATGAAATATTAACAGAGGAGGAGTATAAAATATTCAAGTTTGCTAAGTGCAGTCAGTCTGTCAGACTGAAAATGGAGTTCATCTGAGGTGGCAGAAATATACTGTGCCCCTGCAAAAAATAACAAAAAACTCTGTGATTTCCACATACCCAGATAAGTCAGCCAGAGAGGGTCCTGAAATGACTTAGTGCTGTTTCGACAGTCAGACATCCATGAAAGTCCCTTTCACTGCTCCTTACAGTCAGGGAAGCCCCCTTGTGTCTTAAATTAGCTTGGCTTAAATCTGACATATCTTTCTGGGGTTTTTTTGTTCTTTTTTTTTTTACTCCAGGTTTAACATTTCAGATGTATGAATTTAGAGATGTAAGGAAATAAAAATATTTTAAAACTCCTTAAAGGTTTGCATGGTTTTAGACATTCAAAAAACCAAAATTCTAAATTGGATGTACCAAAAAATGCATTGTCATCATTTAAAGGATCAGTTCAACCAAACATTTTACAAAAGAACATATTTTCACACGTACCTCTTGTAGTTGTCAGAGATGTTTTGGCTTTAGCTGTTCTGGTTTCAAGATAACTCAAAATATGGACAACTAAAACCAAAAGTATTGCCAGAAACCCATAAGAGGTGTGTTTTAAGGGCAGGCATTTCTCGTAAAGCCTTTAGCTGGTTTTTACTCATTCTTACTGCATGAGAAGATTTTTGAATGCTTATATCAACAATTATGTGTCCTCCTCAGCTCCCATGTTTTGTGAGTCCTTGAACTAATCCTCTCATTGTATGTCTTTCCTCAGGGTCAGTTGTTGAGCTGCTTTCATGATGTGTGACATCAGTGTTCCGCTGGTGAAATCCATTTCTCTGTAAAGCTGAATCAGCATTCTCTCTTCATGTTTGCTTAGTCACTGGCAAAAATAGGCTCTCCCTGAATAGGGCTTCTTTGGACCTGGTAACTTTGCTTCCATGGTTTAATAGTTTATTGAGCCATTTCACACAAATATCAAACCTGCAGCTAAGAATCTTAATATTCTTAAGCTCATCTGGTTTCGTCAGCTAAGAAATGTTAAAATCAGACGTAGCTTGTCTTCTCCAGATTTAACACTAATTATTCATTCCCTTGCTTTCTCTGGTCTAGATTATTTTACGTTCATTTGCATTTACCTCAGTCAAGCTGCTCTGAATCAGTTAAACATTGTTCAAAATGCAGCTGCCAGACTATTAGCTAACTGTCACTCCCACTGGCCTCCTGTAAAATTCAGAATAAATGACTAAATCCTGATGATTACATTTAACCCTTGGATGCATGACCGACCAATACCTACACTCTTCCACCTTTTTTAGGTGTTTTTGAGCAGCATTTGACCAGATGACTGGGCAGTACTCCAAGTGTAACAGAACGAGTGACCAAACAACATCATTCATAACATAGGGTGGAACATAGCCAGAACATTTCCTTGACATAGCAATGCCCTTTCCCATCATGGAGACAATATGATCTGGTATATCTGGTCAGACCAAGACAATAAGCTGTCTAATTTAACACCCAGTAATGCTAGTGACCTGCTCAACTAATATCCCATTGATAGACAGACCGAGAGCAGTAGCATTAGCTTTCATATTCCTACTGCCGAATACAAAGTTTTTGCAATGTTCAATGCTTATTTATTCATTTTCACCCAGTTGGTAATGGTATGCAACTCAAGCTGAAGATTCTCACTCAACTCTTCTAGCATTGG